TCCATTTGACTACTTCCCAGTGTACCTTGCCCGATTATTCATATACATGCTAACAGCTCCCACTGCCTGAGCAATATCTGGTCTGGTACAAACCATGATATACATCAGACTTCCAATTGTTGAGGCATACGACACCTTCACCATGTGTGCACGTTCTTCCTCCGTCTTTGGTGACTAATCTTTGGAGAGTCTAAAATAAACAGCTAAAGGTATACTTACTGGTTTAGCATATTGCATGTTGAACCTGGAGAGTACTTTGTTGATGTACCCAGCCTGTGATAACATCAAAGTCTCCGACTTTGTGTCTCTCTTAATCCTCATCCCAAGAATCTGCTTTGGAGCGCCCAGATCTTTCATTGCAAACTGCTTCAACATTTTTTGCTTCAAGTTTATAATCTCTTGTATGTCTGAGCCTGCAACGAGCATGTCATCAATGTACAACAATAAAATAATGAAGCTGTTGTCGAACTTCTTGATGTAGCAACAATGATCTGCTTGGTATCTGGTAAAACCACTGCTACCCATGAAGCTATCGAACTTCTTGTACCACTGTCTAGGAGTTTGTTTTAAACCATACAAGCTATTCTTCAACTTGCATACCATGTTTTTCTTGTCTGCCTTTATGAATCCTTCTGGTTGCCTTATATAGATTTCTTCCTCCAAAACACCATGAAGGAAAGCTGTCTTCATATCTAACTGCTCAAGATGTAGATTCTTTGCAGCTACAATTTTCAACACCAGTCTGATTGAAGACAATTTCACAACTGGAGAGAAAATTTCATTGTAGTCAATACCTTCTTTTTGCTGAAAACTTTTGACAACCAATATTGCTTTCTAGCGTTTTCTCCCATCGTTCTCTTCTTTGATCCTGTAAACCCGCTTGTTATGGAGAGCTTTCTTGCCTGGTGGTAATTCAACTAATTCCCACATCTGATATGACATAAGCGAGTCCATCTCATCTTTCATGGAAGACTCCCACTTAACTGAATCCTCCACCTGCATTGCTTCATCATATCACTCTGGTTCACCATTATCAGTCAGCAACAAGTAGCGCAAAGAAGGAAAATAACGCTGGGTTGGTTTAGAAATTCTGGAGGAGCGTCTCAGTTCTGGTTTGCTTGGTTCTTCTTGAACTGCTTCAGGACTGATCTGAACATCATTTCCAGAGATCTCCTCAAACTCAGCAAATTCCTTTTGTTTCAGCTTCGGTATTGGAGCTACTTGATTATATGGTTGACCTGTCTTTGTACATCACATTTTCATTGAAAATGACATCTCTGCTTCTGATGATCTTTCGATTTTCATAGTCCCAAAACTGGTAACCAAACTCATCACCACTATAACCAACAAAAACAAATTTGTTGGACTTAGCACCAAGTTTACTTCTTTCAGCAGAATTTATGTGTACATAAGAAATACAACCAAACACTGTTAAGTGTGAAAGGTTTATTTCTTTTCTGGTCCAAACTTCCTCTGGTATTTCATCATCCAAGGGAATTGAGGGCCCACGATTGATCAGGTAAGCTGCAGTGTTGATAGCTTCAGCCCATAGCAATTTGGGCAAGCCGACATGTATCCTCATGCTTCTAGCACGTTCATTCAGAGTTTTGTTCATGTGCTCTGCTACGTCATTCTACTGCGGTGTCATTGGAACTGTTGTCTCCATATTGATCCTATTGTTTGCGTAAAATTCTCTGAATCTACTATTTTTGTACTCTCCTCTATTTCAGACCTCAACCGCTTGACTTTCAAACCACTCTCATTTTCCACCATGGCCTTCCATTTTCTAAAGGTATCAAAGACTTCTGATTTCTTCTTCAGAAAATAAACCCACACCTTCCTTGTAGAATCTTCAATGAATGTGACATAATATAGTGAGCCTACAAGAGATGGAACTGGAGATGGTCCCCATACATCAGTATGAACCAACTCTAACTTTTCAGCCTTGGGTGTCTTGTCAATCTTTGCAAAACTGACTTTCTTTTGTTTGCCAAAGATGCAACCTCACATAGTCCGACATCTATACTCTTTAGATCCAGCAGCTTCCCTTTTGACAAAAGTGTCTTCATCCTTTTCTCTCTCATATGGCCTAGCCTTTGGTGCCATAGTTTTGATTTTCCATCAGCATCTGCTACTGTAATGGTATTCTCCAATTTTGAGGTTACGTAAAGAGTATCAGTCTTCTTACCACGAGCAATGACAAGTTCTCCTTTGGTAATCTTCCATTCACAACCTGAAAAGGTTGTACAATATCATTCTCCATCAAACTGTTCTACATAAATCAAATTTCTTTTAAGTTCAAGAATATGTCTCACTCCTTTCAGCTTCTAGGTGGTCTGGTTTGGCCACTTTAATCGGATGTCTTCTTTTCCGACGATCTTCAAGGTTTCATCATCAGCTAGATGAACCTTCCCAAAATCACAACTGACATAGTTCTCCATGATTTCTTGGCATGGGGTATAGTGGAAAGATGCCCCTAAATTTAAGATCCATGATTCAATTGGACTGTTAACACTTAGAATCATGGCATCACCTGTTTCCTCTGTCACGTTGGCAAATTCCTATGTACTGGTATCTTTCTTCATTGTTTGACAATCTCTTTTAAAGTGACCCTTCTTGCCACAATTATAACACTTAAAATCTTTCTTTCCCGTTCTTGATTTTCCCGTTCTAGATTTCGATCTGCCACGATTTGGATTCCTTTCTGAAGTTCTCCCTCTAGACTCCGTGTGCAATGCTGAGGAGCTTGATGCTTCACCCGATTCTCTCCGTCAAATTTCTTCACTCAGTACCAGATCCCGAACATCGTTGAATTCCAATTTACTATTTCCTGACGAGCTGCTGACTACTGTAACAGTAGCATTCCAACTGTCTGGTAGAGATGATAAGAGAATTAAAGATCGAACTTCATCATTGAATTCAATTTCCACGAAACTCAACTGGGTTATGATTGTGTTGAGTTCATTTAGGTGTTGAGCCATTAATGCCCCTTCCGCCATCTGCAAATTGAATAATTGCCTCATCAAGTGAACTTTCTTTGAGGCCGATGACTTCTCATACATACTAGAGAGAGCCTCCATAAGACCCGCCGTGGTCTTTTCCTTTGCTATGTTGAAAGCAACATTGCGGGATAACGTCAGTCGGATAACTCCGATGGCTTGTCTGTCGAGAAGAGTCCAATATTCATTCTTTATGCCCTATGGTTGCTTTCCTGAGAGAGGTTGATATAGATTTTTTTGGTACAGAAAATCTTCAATCTGCATTTTCCAAAAGCCAAAGTCCGTACCATCAAACTTCTCAATTTTCACATTCCCTTCTTCTGCAGCCATTGCTCCCACTCGAATCTGGCTTCTTTTGGATCATTTCTGATAATTAATACGAACCACTATGTATTAGAACACCTCCGTCGACAAATTCGTATCGCCGACCAAATTTTACTATTTACGAATTTCACTATTCACATAAATAGTAACCTCACAGAAAAACCGAAAAAAAATCACCACCAAAAGCTCTTGATACCAATTGTTGGAAAATAAAAAACGAGTAATTTCCCTATAACCAGATTAGTGAGAATGCGAAATAAAAACGGAAAATAATACCCGAAATTGATAACGGAGTTCGACCATTTATGCCTACGTCTGCAAACTGCTGTAGATCTTTTACTAAAGAGAGAGAATTTACAGGTGTTTACAAAACACTCACAACTCACAAGAAAACTCTCTAAACTATTTAGTATTGGGAGAAAGAAATGATTTGGGATGATTTTGAAGCTAAATGGGTTAGGGTATTTATAGTTGAAGCTTAAGGACTAATCTTATAAATACCTTAAAGTCCAGAGACTAAAATAACAATTTTCCCATGCTAATTTTTCAACAAAAATCAGCTGCCCACCTTTGAAATCATCTAGCCGTCGGCTGCCAAAATTGAAGCATTCAATGGCTGCCAAAATTTGATATTTAAATTAGTCGGCTGCCATGCTGACTTTTCAACAATGCCCGATACGCGACCATAGTCCGAGGTAGCCCCAAATCGCTAGCCACCACCGCCCTTTCATTGGCGTTCAACACGAATCATTTCACTACGAAATCGATGATATCTATCTCCAAACACCACGGCTTAAAGCGTAGAGAGGCCGCGGCCTTGAGGGATTGTGTGGAACAACTAGAGGACTTCGTTGATGAGCTGAAAGACTCCATCACGAAACGGAGTCCGCCTACTGCGGCAGCAGCCATTTGACGAGTGCAGCTTTAACTAACGAGGATACCTGCATGGATGGCTTGTCTGGGAAATCCATTAATCGTAATTTGAAGACTGGAGTGAGAAGAAGAGTGGTGAAGGTTACACATTTGACGAGTTTCGCTTTGGCTTTCGTCAACCGCAATGCTGCAGCGCCCACTCATAAATGATATTGCCATTTCTCTTGTGCATCGAGTGAGGTTTTGCCTTTACAGTTTGTATTGATTTGCTTTTTTGCTAGCCAGCTAAATAAAGCTAGGGTTTTTCAAATTGATGTGCCGGATCATTTTTCCTTTGGGAATAAATATCGACTGAAAATCTTTACTTCCTCTAGCAAAATTGATGTTTGATCTAAATTTGCAATTTCAGAGTGTTGTCTTTCTTGTCTCTTTATTTTCCCCAGAACTACTTTAATATTGTTCGTTTAATTTTTGTACCATTTTCGAAGATGAATAAGATTTAACATTTAGTCACATCAAAATAGATGCGTTAAATACATAAATAGCCATCAAAACTGTTCACTTCTTTCATTTTAATACGAAAGTGATAAAAGTGAACAACTTGAGGAGGTTATTTATGATTTTCACCATGTACAAAATCCAAACTACTAGTGTAGCAGTCCGATTTTAACTTGAAATTATTGGATTCATTCATTCGCTGCCGTCACATTCCCAAAAGTTCTTTTTGTTGGAACCACATGACTCGCGACTCGTGAGCTTTCTCTTCCAATAAATTCAGTCCCTCTCTTCCGCAAGACCAATCGATCTCTCAAGCTTTTCTTCAGAAAGAGAAAGGCAAGCAAAATGGCAATTGGTTCACACTTTTCACCGGCAGCTATTCTCATCCTCATTCTCTTCACAACTCACCCAAACTGTTTATCGGCCAGAAAAATCCTCAGCTCCGATACAGACACAGAGTTCATCAAAACTTCGTGTGACGCCACCACCTACCCCGACCTGTGTTTCGCCACATTTTCAAGCTACGCAACCGAAATCCAGGCCGACCCCAAAATATTAGCCGCCAAGTCTCTCTCTGTGGCACTCAACACCACGCTTTGGGCTTCACAAAGCCTGACGGACCTCTCCAAAACGCAGGGACTAAAGCCTAAAGAGGAAGCGGCTCTTCACGACTGTGTGGAAGAAATGAGTGATTCAGTGGATGAATTAAGAAGGTCCATTTCTGAAATGGAAGAGAGTGAAGGCAAAAGCTTTGCATTGAGAATGAGTGATGTGGAAACATGGGTCAGTGCAGCTTTGACTGATGAAGATACCTGCATGGATGGCTTCTCCGAGAATGAAATGGATGGTGATGTCAAAGCCACTGTGACGACGACAATCGAGAACGTTGCACAGTTGACAAGCATTTCATTGGCTTTCGTCAACCAGTATGCTGGCAGCAAATAGTAAACTGTTATTTAAAAAACATGTCCATTACCTATGCAATTGTATTTCAACCTCTCTTTTTTTCCCTGAATTGTTTAACATTTGAGTATCAGTTCCTATAGTTTATCATCAGTTTGTCTCCATTGCAGCAATGTGATAGCAAAACAAATACTAACAAATAAGCGTTTTGCAGTTGGAGAACGAAGCTCAACCTATTTTCCACATGGTCCTACTTATCACAAAATGAAGGTCCAAAACAACCTGCCTCATCCCCAACTCAAACTATACACCACGTGATCCGAGAGTTATCAAGAATTCGTATAACATGAAAATTTGATCACGAATTTTATTGAACAGTGATCGATTACTAGAAAAGGTTGACACGAGTGAGAGCAAAAAGAGAAATGAATTTATCGAAAATTTAAAAGATTTCGATGTTTTCTTTTATTCCCCCCCCCCTCCGAAAATACAAAATTCGGTAGGAGCAAACAAGCCCAATACAAGAATTTATAATCTCAATATACTAACAAAAAATAATTATATACTTAATAAATTATTTTTGGATTTTAAAATTTTAAATTATCACTCTTCTCTTTTCCCTTTTTTCCTTCATTATAATTTGTGTCAATTTTATTTATCAATATGATTTTTTCTTCTTTAATTTTGTTTAATCGACGAAGACACCGATTTTAATATAAGTTGTTGTCTGCTGATTATTATTTTTTTAGTTTGTTAATAAGAATAATTATGTCTTTGTGACATGTTCTCTGCCTTTATGACACGTTTATATATATCTGCCTTTGTGACATCTTTTTCTATGCCTTTTGGTAACTTACCTTTTTCTTGTTTACGATTTTTTTGTCGTTATTTTTGTTTATCTATCTTTTTTTCTCATAGTTGGATTTCATATAACCATTTACTGATGAAGATAGCGCTTATTTGTTATCATGATGATCTTTCTTGATTTGGACCCTCGGATAGATTTGGATACGCGTTTTGCTTTCGTGGATAGTTTTCTCACGTCGCTTGACTTTGATTTGCGGTTTGTTGGAAGTATTTCCACAGCTTCATCCCCTTTTATAGTTCGTTTATCGATGCAGTCAGATTTGTTCGTATCTTTATTTTATTCGAGCTTTTTGGTTAAGTTTTTTAACTTTTTCCTTCTTTGGTCCTTATGTGATCTAGGTGGGTAGTTTTTGTCTCAATGGTAATAGGAAAATGTCATAATTATATTTTAGGTTTATCATTATGCTGGTAAATCGTTATTATAATTTTGGATATTTTCTATTTTTAATAAAACTAGCGACAATTTAAATTATCATATCGATTTTTTATTTTATTTTATTGAAAATTATTTAAAATTATATATATATTCATGAAGAATTATCTCAAACAGATGCAAATATTACAATTCCTAATGGTATAAAGTTAAGAGAGTTTTTATAATTTTTAATTTTCCACATGTTGAATAATAATTAAAAGGGTTAACTACATGATTTATTTATATTTGTGTTTTTTACTTTTCCATTGATTTAAAAAATAATAATATATGGTCAATTTCGCTTTTATTTAATTAAGATATGGTCACTTGTATTTTATTTAATTAAGATGTAGTCTCCACGAGTTAACTATAGTTAACAATTAACAGACTAGGTGACATGATATTTTGGTATAATCACACATTTGATCCCTATTATTTATATATTTTCTTAATTTAATCCTACTAAAAATAAATTAAAATAAATTTAATCCTCCAACCAAATGATGCCACATGTCACCATTCTATTGGAGGACCAACTTTATTTTAATTTAATATGTTTATTTTTCACCAATCAGTGTCACCCTCTTGAAAACAAAGCAAAGTAAATTGGGGCTAAAGGGATTCAAACCCGGGTATCTTAGAAAATCAAGCATGTACCCAACCATGTATCTTAGTGTATAAATACTTAAATTCATAATATTTTTTTCATATTAACTTTAAGAAATATTTTTTATATTAATTTATAAAATATATTTTATTATTAATATAATTTAAAAATATTTTATTTTTATTTTTATTTAAAAATATTTATTTTATTCTTATCTGAACTTTTGAAAATATATTTTATTATTATTTTAACTTTTCAAACTATATATTTTTCTTAATTTACTAAATTATATTATATTATTAATTTAAATTATTAAATATATTTTATTCTCATCTTAACTTCAAAATATTTTAACATAAAATATATATTTTTCAATTAAAATAAAAATGAAATATTTTTTAAAATTAAGTTAATAATAAAATATATTTAATAAGTTAATATAAAAATATTTTTTAAAATTAATATAAAAATTATTATGAATTTAAGTTAAGTATTTATACACTAAGATACAAAATATATAAATCATGTTGTATATTTTAAATCAAGTATTGGTGTTGGCTTAATGGTTGGGCACATACTTGGTTTCCCAAGTGACTTAGATTCAGATCTTTTTTTGTTTCAATTTGCATTGGTGTTTTCTTTCGATTAGAGGATTAAATTTATTTTAATTTATTAAAAGTAATATTAAATTGAAAGAATATATAAATAGAAATGACCAAATGTGTGATTATTCTAAAATATTTAATTGTCATGTCACCTAATTTATTAAATGTTAACGACAATTAACTTGTGATAATCACATCTTAATTAAATAAAAATGAAAGTGATCATATCTTAACTAAATAAAAACAAAAGTGTCCATATATTATGTTTTTGAAATCAACGAGGAAAAGTGAACAAAATACAAACATAAGTGATCAATCATGTAGTTAACTCTAATTAAAATAATAAAATATCAAAGATGGTTTCATTAATATTTTATATCAAAAATAATTATTTGCCATCTTAAAAAACTAATTAACAATAATAAATAATTTAATATTTTTTTATTAATTTAGGGTGCTTACAAGTGGTAATATATGTTATAAAGACTCTTAACCATTTGACAATAAACGCTCAAATATCATATAGTATCTGATGCTCGAAGTTGAGACCTCTAAGAATAACAACCTTCCTTTAACCACTGAAATAACTTAGTTCATGCATAAACACTTTAATCTTAAATCAATCTCTTCAAAATAGTTCACTTCTCATTTTTCAAAAATAATACTAAACTAACTCTAAACAACAAAAATAATACTGAACCAACTCTATATAGCAGGTAATATAAGGCATAACAAGAGCAGCTTAAAATACCATAAAACGTGTGTTAAAAATAGTGCATCTCAGTAGACTTTATGTTTACTTTTTTGTTTTGTTTGGTCAGTGTTTTGTTCCTGAAATATAGGAATAAGTTGCTTAGCTGAAGTCAATAACGTGTCTAATTGCTTCCTTAGTTTTATGAGATAATTAGAGTTCTTTTAGGAACAATTTGTTACGTTTTTCATGTATTTAATCCCTTTATAGAAGATTAATAAATAATTATTTTTCCTTAATTATTTTCTCTTGTTAACTAAAAATTACTTACATCTTTGTTTTGTTTCATGATATCACTGTCAGGTCAAAAAATTGTTATTTATTATTTCTCTTTGTATATCAAGTCACTTGTTTTGTCTTGTTGGAAGTGATTCGAAGCTGAAAGCAGAGATGAAGTTAGAAAATGGAGGAAGTAGTTCTATCATTCAGTATGGTGTTGAGAAACTTGTAGAGACAAACAAGTATTGGAGGATGTGTGTGGAGGCATTTCTTCGAGGTCAAGATCTGTGGGATCTAGTTACAGGAGCAGATGTAGAAATTCCTAAAATCACAAGAGAATGTTAAAGCTAGTAGAAAATGAAGATCAAATCCAGAAAAGCTCTCTTTGCATTCAGGGCTTCCATTAGTAAGGAGTTCATCACCATGTTCGTGATGTTAATTCACCAAAAACAATTATGGGAGACTCTTGAGTGGTTATTTTCTATAAAGAATACAACTCGTTTGCAATTTTTGGAGAATGACATTGCATCCTTAACACAAGGTAGCATGTCATGAGAAGTTGAAAAGCATGACAACTTGATGTGAAAAATATTTTTTATACGAAAAGTTAGATCGTGAAGTATTCATGGAACAACCTGTTTGCTATATTTTTAGACTAATATCCTTACCATGTATGTAATTTAAAGAAGCAATGCATGGTCTTAAACAAGCACCACGTGTTTTGTAACGCTCCGAAATACGAGTTAGGAGTTTCAGGTTTATTCAATTAAGCTTTAGAATAAATTTCCCTTAGTATGTCAAGCTTTGGACCCAAATGAATATGACTTGGGCTTATGATGAGCCCAACAAGAATACGAAGGGATGTATTTAACCATGAAGCAAATGAGGAAGGACTAGGTGAAGAATTTACCCATTTGTTTGAATCAAGGTTGATTCCCATTAATTTCGGATGATCTCGCGTTTGAAATATATATTCTCTTTGCCCCGAAAGTTTGTCTTCTTCCTCTATTCTATTTGACTCTCTTCCTCTTCAAGAACCAAGTTAAAGTAGGAAACTTTAAGAGTTCCAAGCACCCATTTGAGCCTCCAATGTAAGAATTACAACCTTCATTCCCTAAGCTTTCATTCAAACCCATTTTTGCAAGTTATGGCCAAGTTTCACAAAAATGGGTTTTAGTGGGGGTTTATGAAATTCTATATTTCAGTTCATTTTATGAGATTTAAGTTGTAAAGAAATGTTTTTGGCTTCTTCCCAATGTTTAAAATGAGTTAACGACTCATTAAACTTATTTTGATCAGTGCAGGAGCAAGAGAAGAACTCAAAGGTTAGAGGCAAGGAAAGGTTAGTCCTTGGGTGATTTTAGCGCATTTTTCAGTCACATAACTTCAAGGTAACACGATTGTACACATGAAGATCATTGTATGCACATATAAGGTTTGTTTGTTCATGAAAGTATGCTAGAGTAAATCCATGGTACAATTTGTATTTGATGTTTGCAAGCAAGAAAGTTAGTACATTTTGACCTCTAAGACACCAAATAACACTTTAAAAATGCTTGCTAGTCTTAGGAGAGTGAAAGAGTGAGATTTGTGTGCGATTTCGT